TCTACAATTTACTCTTGTTACCTTAGCCAGCTTACTCGAGATTGGTGTCTTAGTCATGATTTGCATGCTGTTTGGAACAAAATACCAGACATAGCATATGCAAACATATGCATATGCAAAAAGTTCTTAAGAAGCCTTGTAGCGTAGAGAACCAGGTAGAAACATGAGTCTCTGGAAGGAATAACTGGCACTTGGCTTATCTGGCAACACTAAGTTGCTCCTATAAAAAGGTCGTCTTCTATGTGCTGAATTTCCAGTGTTGTCAATGCATTAGATTGGAGAGTAAGATTCAATCGGAAGCAACCATCTCTCTTCAAGTCCCTCCCCTGCCTCTCCTTCTACCATCTCCACCCACCCAATGCTTGAGAGTAGTATGTTTGCATATTGGGGCAACTCCTAGGTCATGGTTTTACTCAAATGTGAGGTCTGTCAAAAGCAAGTGCTACCCCTGAAATGATTCTGTTGACCACAGTTATCTTTAGCAATCAAAGAGGAGCTATTGACATTTTGATTGCTTCAGAAAATACTATGCTGTGCTACAGCAATATCAGCAGTAACGAGAGTTCAAGTGGAAATTTTTGCCATCACTGTAGGAGGATAAAAAAGCATGATAGCACATTATCCCATGGTCACTGAGAAGATGTAGCAGTTCACCATGCTTTGCTCTGATGCTTAGTGAGCAACAAATACTCTGCTGCTTCACTAAGTCATTATAGCTCCTACCTATCTTCAGTTATCAAAGAGAAATATCTCAGTTCTTCACCCATATTTAACTGGAAGTGCTGGGATGACATATTCACATGTGAATGACATTTTGTGTCCTTCTTTAAGTAAGGACTTAACAGGAACCCTTAAAAGACCAAGTGTCCTTAATTGCACTGTTTTAAAATGAAACACTTAGTCTTTGTGTTTCTGGTGGGTTGGCCATGCTGATTACGCTGTTCATTAAACAGTCCTGGGGTTGTATTGAAACGTCTACAAGATCACGCACTGCAGTAATTCATTAAGAGCAAGACAAATATTGGCAACATCTTTTCAGGGACCTTTGAAAATGGCGAAGTGAGAAGTAGCTTGCACTTGTGATTCTACTGGAGTAAAAATTGGCGTGATTTTCCTTATAAATACTTCAACAGCAACAAATTCCACTTTCATCTCAGAATCTGTTCCATTGGTCTCTGTGGCTTTGAGCAGAGAAGGTCATCTGTAAGCAGAGCTTTGGAGGTAAAACAATTTCAAATTTCATTGCTTGTGTTTGGGCTGTTGTTTGCTCATACTTCCCTGCCATGCAAGAAGTGTTTTTGAGCTAGGTTAAGTGTTTGTGTATTTGTTTCTCTCTCCATGGCTTCTTAGGCATATATAGGAGTAAACTCGTGTTCTCCTGTTTTGGACTATTCTTCTGATTTGGCATTTGCAATATTAGACACCAAAGATGATGAACAAAGAATGAGGTCATCTGCTGTGTCATTAAGATTTATTCTGTTTGTGGGTCCAATACTGTACTTGGTTACAGTAGTGTAATCTCCAAATACTGCCAGAATTATTTTGAATTATTTGAAAATTCCATAGTTCTCTAATTTTAGAGAGGGCTTTAATTTACATAAAATTTTGCATGCCCCAAGGCTCTTCTTTTATTTTGGTAGTATAGAGAAAGCTTGAAAGAATTGTCATCAGTGTAAACCAAAAACATCCCAGGCAACTAAATGCGTGCCTTTTGCTATTTTGTTATTAACTAACTACTCTGTAATTCTTCTTCCCTCCTCCCCACAAGCACCTCCCTCTACTCCCCCCAAAAAACCACTAAGGAAACAAGCACACCACGATAAAAATGCTAATAAAGGGAATAATTCCCAATAGACCATAAAAGACAGCATTTATAACCCCCATAGAAATGCCAGTCAGCTTTTTTTGATGTAAAGCATCTGTCTCCGAAAGGAAATGAAGGCAGGCCTGTTTCTCCTTTCAAGTCTCTGAAGTAGTAGGTGGTGTCATTTGTTATACAGTGCTACAAGTCCCATGTTATTGCACTGGTAGCTGCTGACTGCCTTTGTTAACGTACTGAAAAGTTTTATCAGCTGTCTTTAATAAAAGACAATATATATGAAGAAAAACTGTAGCTAATATCTCTTGCTCTCTTGTTCTCAGACCATCATTTATAGCTGTCAGAGAACAATGGCACTGATGTATAATCTTGCAGTCACCCAAAATTCTTGTGACTGCTACAATAAACCGTAGATACTAGGGTGGCTGATAACCTGGAACGCTAGGGAGCATTCCTTCCAAACTCCTGTGCACTTCCTCATTTGAAACATGGAGGAGCTGGAATGAACTTTCAGCACTACCTAAAATCAGCTATCAGTTCACATTTTCTAGAAATATATTTGTTGAGAGCATTAATGGCCTAAAATTTGTTGGGTCTCCAGGAAATCACGAATGATGGGTAAAAGTTGGAAAATTTCAAGTTTAGTTGAAAGGCATGCAGTTTGTTCTATTTCTAGATGTTTTTGTTGCTAGTTCCTCTAGTGAAATGATATATCAAATTAAAGACATGATGGTAGAAGAGTTTTCTTAGCTAGGCGTGTAATCTTAACATTCTTTAAGTACTTGATTAGTACCATACACACACCATATTTTCAGGCGAGTGTGAAGGAACTGGAGAGGAATTCTGGAAGCCGTATGAGACAACTGTGTTACTTCCCACACAATAAGTTTGTGGATGCTGTAAATTTAGCCCTGAGCACATTTCAGTGTGTGTCTTTTTCTAGGTTTAAAGTTTTGTAATCCTTATCGATTGTAAGCTTTGTCTAGATGCAAACTTATGCACATAGTTATATTTCAAGTGAGAAGACAGTTCTGTGTCTGTTAATGTGCTCTTGAAAAAAAGCTGTTTGATTCATAAACTAATTAGGCAAATAAAGAGCGTGATTAGTGTGAATGGACCATCCTACTCATGATTTGAGAAAAAATTCTCTCAATCTTAAGTCTAAAAATAAATGAATGAATAAAACGTGGATATTTACACAGCCATCCATATACAGTGGAGCTCCTTTCCAATAATTCTTCACTTGCATCACTTCAATTAATACCCAGAACATCAGTAATTAAGGAGTGTATTATTCTATTATAAAATAGCATGCAAGGCACTGCTAAGGAGGAGCTATGATAATGTGGCTGCCAATATGTGTTGTCAGTAGCAAAGATTACATTTCATGGGCTTAGTTTTCTTTCTCTGTACAGAATATGATGGTGGAGGAAATTTTGGACAGTATTTAACTGGGAAAACTTTATAAAATCCAGCTAGGTTTTTGTTGTTGTTGTCTTGATTTTTAGTAGAACAAAGTAACTGACTTATGAGTGGTGGAAATAATCTGTCAGGGTAAAGCAAGAAAAATTAAATCTAAAAATACCATCTTCAGATTCCACTGCATTAGCATTATGATGTTTACAATAGCAAGGGCTGAACTCATTTTGCTTAATTTTGAAACTCTGGAAGACAGTTGTTCTGAAAATTTGGTGTTTCGCAGTTCCGTATGAGCTTTTTGTGCTGCATATGTTAATAGGTAAAAAGAAGCAGGAAGAAAGCTGAAAAAGTATGAAATATTATAGGGTATAAAACTAGAGAATTTTCTGAACAATATTTCCACCATAAAATTTAGCTTTTGGACACATGAATTAGGGGGGGGGGGGCGTTGAAATTTGATTCAGAAGGATAAGAGTAATTACTTCAGCTTGCTAGTGGAGAGGTTTGGAACATACCTAAGTCTTCCTCATCCTAATGACTTCCTATTACCTCATTAGTCTGGGAGACCAAATCTAGTGCATGTTTTATTGGCCTTCTACCTACCATATTTTCCTGAAGTTATTGTCACTGAAGGGCTTCTAAAGCATACCAACACCCAGTAGTCTGAAGCTGAGTTTCCATGTGGCTTCACAGTTTATCAGGTTTTGATCAGACCACTGGTGAGTGGCGTCTTGAAACACTTCTCATCTGACCAAACTATGTGACTTCGAAAGTGAGTGTTCCTGAAGCTCCTTTGAAATCATAGTGACCTAAGGGGGAGAGAAAAATGTAGTGAACTTTTTCTCGTTCCCAACCCCACCCTCTTTTTCTTTGAAATGCAAGGTACTGGTTTGGCAAATGCCTTTACTGTGCTCTCACTAGCATGTGACAACCTTAGGTACTGCAAAAAGGTAGGTCAGACTGTTCTCTTCAGCTTCATAAATCTGCTTTTCGGCCCTTGTAATATTTGTTAAATCCAGTAACCAGCCATGTTTAATTATCATGAACAAACTATTATTTCATAATGGAATAATCTAAAGATGAAAAAATAAAAACAAAACCCATTTTGTCTTAGCTAAAGATGGAAAAATTACTAGTAACATAAGAAGCTTTTAAAATGGATTTGTTATGAAATTTTCACATCTTTGTTATTAAAATAGCATGTGCTTCCACCATTGTTAATTTTATTCAGTCGTTCATTAAGAAATAATTGCCACAGCCTTAATCTAAATGGATATCCTAGGACCCCTAAACATCCTTAGAATCTGAAAACAGATTGTATTTTCTACTAGTTATAATTAAGACAAAGAGAAAAAAGGGGATGACTTCCAATGTGTTAACTATTCCCAATGATTATAAATTCTTTATTGGCAATAGGCTGAATTAAAATTAAATTCCCATCTTTAATCCGCTCTTGGATTAGTTTAATTTTCTCTTGGAAATTCTGCTATGCTGACATTACCACATGTAAAGCTTTATGAGCTCTGTGTTTTCTCATTAAAGAAAGAAGTCTGTCTGTAGACACCAGAGCTTGCCCTGTTTAAAGCACAAAGTATACAGCAGCTGTTCAGAAACTTTTTCTTGTTATCTCTATTTGCTTAAATTGCTTCCATGAAAAGTCTGCAAACATAAGGGAATAATTTGTTTAAGTGGAAGAAGATTGTCTGAAAAGAAAACCTGAAAATATTCCTAATATTTCTTCCTCACTTTTTTTTTGTATCAGTATCCAGCTGCCCTAATGAATCTTGGAGCCATTCTCCATCTGAATGGTAAACTGAAAGAGGCTGAAGAAAACTACCTCCTTGCTCTTCAACTTAAACCCGATGATGTCATCACTCAGTCCAATCTTCGCAAATTGTGGAATATCATGGAGAAGCAAGGTTTGAAGACATCCAAAACGTGATGATGAAAACTCTGAACTTTTTTTTTTCTTAAATTGATTAAAACCACGAACTAGAACTTCCACATAGTTGTCTGATCAGAGAACTCCTTGGACTTGACCGCAAGGACGAGAGGTCTTAATTGCTGCTAGGAGAAGCTATCCTGCTTTTTTGGCATAAGTTTTTTTGCTAGATAAATAGAAAAAGGAAGACACTGAGATATTCATGAAGGACTTGTTACCCCACAAAAATATTTAGAACCATAGCACTTGAGAGAAGGTGTCTTGGCATATTTGATAAATCATTGCAAATCCCATATTGCTCACTTTTGGGTGGGTACTTGAAATGTATACTGTCTAGAAATACTAAGGGAAAATTGTACAGTATACGCTAAGCCATATGGGACTAAAAGTGGTAATAGTAGGTTAAAGTATTTTGCTGATACTGTAACTCATTAAAATGTATACTAAATCCAGTGTGTTTGCAGTTTGTCTTAATGCTGCTGGTCTCACTCTAGGACCACTTGCCTACCAATTTCACAGCTTATATGGCCAATTATTTTTTTTTTCAAACCTGTTGGTTGTGATCAGATGACAGCATTCATAATTGTTTACTAAGAATCTGCATATTATTTCAGCTTGTTAAGTTTTAATGCCATTTTCTTGAGATACACAGTCAAATGGTTGCAGGCTAGGCAGAATGAGCAAGGAACTGCCCATATTCTACATCACGTGTGTATGTAGAGTGGTATGTCCAAGAGGTATGGTTAGCAATACAAGCAAGACTGATGTTTGCCCTGATATCAAATGAGTGTGGTCAGACTGTCAACTTAAGAAAAGAAATAATTGGTATTATAGAAAAATGTGTTTGACTCTTTTTGCATTGCTGTCAGATAAGACCGACTAAGCTGGAATCTGTGTACAGTATTTTTGCAATAACTAAGCCAAGTGAGATTTGAAAGCATTGGTGCTTACACATGCTACAAATGAGACTTCATGAGCAACTCGGAGGAAAGGGATTGTTATATATTGGAGATGCTAGCAAATAATTGAAGGGACTGGATTAGATCATGCTTAAAGCAGTGTAGATCAAGAGAAATGTGTAGAGGTGGTTGCCAGTTACTTTTCACAGTGGTGGTATTTTAAAAAGTATCACCTTTCAGATTCTAACCAAATATTAGCATTCTGTTTGTATTCTTACGTGTGTGCCAGCAGCAGAGCTGTCAAATATCTAAATATGCTTTTGGTGAGGTTCAATTTATTTCTGTTTCAGAATGATCTGGCCTAGTTACTGTTTTAGTCTTCAGTTTTTAAATGTAAAAATAATTTATTTTAAATTGCAGTGTATTGAAGCTTTAGTAATTTTTTTCCAGGCCATTTGTTAACTGCTTTCTTTCTTTGGTATAAGTGTTATTGCTTGTAAGAAAAGTTACTATTTCATTTAATGACCTGTTGGTACCTGCTTCAGTGTTCTTTTCATAATGGTAGATATAGCGTTAAAGTGGTAGAGCACCTTGAACTGAAGCTTCTTCAGGATCTTCTGTTAAAAAACTCTTTATTACTGAGAAAGTTTGGGGAGTTTTTTGCTTTTTAATTGTTGAGCACCATTCCAACAAAACTGTAGAAGAGAATACTTTGCTGTATTTATTTATTTATTACTTGACTGCAGCAACGTTACCTACCATTAACACAACAGTCTGTAAGTGTTGCTATTTCTTTTATTTGGTTTTTCTTGCTTTTTTTGTGGTTAGTGTTTGTTCCTGATGGGAAAGAGGAGACTTGAGTTCTACTCTGCCTTCTTGGTCATTCTCCCCTTACACTTATATTGAAATAGATTGGGGAGTAGCTGTTTCAAAGTCAGTGTAGTAAAAAATTGTAGTAGTGTCTGTTTCCCTTTCTTTCCTCTTCCTCGCTAAAATACTATAAGTTGCTAAGTTTACAACTGGCCTACCAGAAGGGCCAGAGGGGCAAGATTGTTTGGCTTTGTGAAGTGTGTCAAGTTTTTCTCAAATGATGTTATGGCTGGGAAAGCAAAATTGAAGGGTCAGAAGTGGAATTTCTACTTTAGCATTGAAACCAGAGTTAGAATACAATGGTAGTTTGAACTTATTCTCCTGCTTTACTGACTTTCTGAGAAAAGTATAGAAATAAATTAGATAGTAACTATAACTGAATTCAGTATAAAACTGTGGTATCCTGCAGCTTTATTTGCTCAACAGCCATCAAACTTCGATGGCTTCTTGGTCTTAACCATTCATTATGTTATTTGTCTCCTTCAATTTATACTCATTCCTGTTTAGTAGTTTTTATTCATTGCACAAAAGGGGGAAAAGGGGAGCACTCCTGTGATGCAGTGTCATGCTTGCATTGATAACTGTTTTTGTTTGTTTCTGAAAAAAAAAAAAGAAAAGAAAAGAAAGAAAACAGGACTAGCGTAAATTTAACAAGAATGTCCCTGAATACGTTTTTTTAATATAGGTCTGGGCTTGATAACTTTCTTCTTTTGGGATAAATTTAAAACATGTTTAAAATATGTCTCTCTGCTCAGGGATTTATGGTGGATTATTGCAGACAGTGCTAAAAAAAATAAAAGAGCACAAGACAAGTTTACTAAATTAAAATTTTATTTTTTGAAAAACTGTTATTTGTATAAATTATCAGATTTGTAGGCTTTCTTTTTTGTAGAAATAATTGTTTATGTGCCAGATAAGAGAATTTCAATTTTGTTTTCAATAATAAAGCATTGATAACTAATACACTGTGCATTCCTTTATCTGTTACTGTAATAACATTTTTAAAAAAAAAAGTCTAATGAGTTATATTGACTGTTTTATGTATGGGACAACTATATAGTGTAAATGGAGTTCAACCTATCGCAGCTGACTTTCTATACTCTATTGCAGTTGTGCTTCAGCTGATACTTTCAAAAAGGTTCTCTGGAAGCATTTTTTAACATTTCTACTTACTGTATCTAGACAAAGGGGTATGGTAACTATTATATTTGATTGTTGTTTCTAAACTCTATGGGAATAAAAGCTGATGAATAAGATATATTTATAGATTACTTTTAGATTGACATACAAGCATGATGTCAGTAAAAATGCTCCTAAAATCTGTAGTTGGCTACCAAAGCTGGAAAGAAGACTTCACTCACATCTATGGTCTTTTAAATATCTGGGATCACCTTTCTCTCACGCTGCAATGTCACATGATCTGTTTCAAATCTGCTGTGTTTCTGCACAGGGGATGTAATGAAATGACAGGCTTTGGGTCACTGACTTCCCAAATTCAACTGTCATGCCTTATTTTTGTCAAAGGTCATGCCCTGCCTTTAAATCTGGTCATTCCTTGCCTAATGGCAGATGATGAATACGGAGTACGCAAAGAATAATTTCATCTGTGGCGCTCTTTTCTCATGGAAATAGAGACTAATCGTGCTTGAACTCCTGCTCTGGCATCTTATCCCTTAGGCCTTTCTCTGTGAGATCCTTTTCTGCCTGCCTTGTAGTGTGCTTCTAATGTTTATGTTCTTTCAAGCATCATGTTTTTTGGGCAGCAAACCATTTCTGATGGAGGCACCACGGCAGCTCTGCTGGGTTATTAGTCCTGCTGTCTTACGCAGGTCCATCTGGACTCGTTCTGTGCAGCTGGCACAGGTGGCTGTGTTGCTTCTGAGATTTGAACGAGTATAAAGGTAAGGCACTAAATTCTTCTGTGTAAATATACCTGCTCATTTGAATCTGTTTTGGGACCCTGTTGTAGGCATTCTCATCACAACTTTGCCCAACAGGGGTGAACGCAGGGAGCATGAGAGGAGCTTTTCCTTCAGTTCAAGTGTGAGAACATTCCTTGACAGCTGAATTAATATGTTTATTTTGCTGCATCCCGAAGGGTTGCAAAGGAGAGATTTTGGTGAGAGTATCTGTAGATCCAGAAATAGATTGTAGGAAATCTGAGGAAAATCCCATATAACAGCTTACCTTTTTGAGAGTTCTATTTCTGGTTCTTTGAAATAAGAGACCCCACTCAGATGTTACATAGGCTTCCTCCGTTGGTCTGACCCTTTAATTTGAAGTGTCCCTGCCGTGCTTCACACGGATAGTGAACATTTAATCTATCTGAGATTCAGAAGAGTGACATTGGAAGAACATGTTTCAAGGAATAGAATACAGCTGATGTTATGCAGTGGGCAGGGAGGGGAGTGTCAGGGAAGAGGTGCAGACATTTTCGTGGAAATAAGTAAGAATTTTAGAGGGACAGACTTTATTCCAACAACAACGAAGGAAACCCCAAGATCAAGTTATTCTAGAATAAACTACGGGAAAGGGTACACATCAGTAATTTAAAAAAAAAAATATAAAAAACAAACAAAAAAAAAACCCATAAGCAATACAGAGTTTTTTAGGTATAATAATAAATGAAGCCCAAACATGAACAGCCAGAAATGCTGGCCTCAGAAGACACTATAATAAAGTTCAGGACATAACTATATTTTCCCCATGAAAGACTGAATGCGTTATCAAGTTATGCCACTTATTTAGAAAATGTTTATGGTTGCATTTTTGTTCAAGTTTCAAATTGATGTTTCTCCTTTTCCTGTTTATTCTGTATTTTATCATATTTATCTTGTCGTTGTGCACTGGCCCTTTGGTGGTGCCACAATTCTAGAGTCGGACAGCTTTGAAAGTTACATGTGAGGAAGCATTTCAGAAGGGCAGAAATATCAGAGTGGACCTTCTAAAAAAGCGTAAGATAAAATAGTTTAAATTATACCCGCTTGCTGTATGCTTATTTATTTTGAATATATTTTCAGTGGCAAAGCAAAATTACATTTACTTGCTGAAATGCTTGAGCTTACAGATGTCTCTGTGAAAGGTTTGAAGATTAAATTGTTGTTTCTAGTTACAAATTTGAGTCAGTTTGTGTGCATTTGAGCACAAATTTATGTTTTAAAAAACTTAAGACTTCCTTTTGAAGAAACAGGTGTGGAAGCCATGTGCAGTGAGAACAGTTGTTGTTTGGTTTGTGGGGGTTTTTTTATTTTATTGAATTCGTGCATAAGCATCACCAGTCCCTTAGCTGCTGACATTCTATTTTTACATGGAAATTTTTGTTTTTCTAAAGCTCTCAACCTGATTGTATGATGCTGTGTTTCTGCAGAGTTTGAATAGTGTAAGCCACAGGTTCTGAGCGAAGCAGAAATGGAGCTTGGCTCTAATGGCTAAACTTGGGTTCAGTTTTGATTTCAGGAATGATTTAATGAAGGTGAACAGATTTTTCAACCCAGTAATACCATGGTTTGCTGTACCAAGTGTTCCCAGAAAGTAGAGGTTATTTAAGAGGCATTGTTTGTTTCTTGTTTATATTTTTTTTCCTGTCAGCAAAGCACTTTTTGTCCTTTTCTGGAGAAATATATTTTATTTCATCTCTAATTTTCTTGAAAACAGACGTTAATGCATACCCAGTATTTTTTTATATTACAATGAGAAATTAATTTTGCATACAACTGATCTAGTTACTACTTTGTCATGTTTGGTGCAACCACAACCATAAGTTTATCTATAGTACATGAGTGTATAATACAGTGTATTGTTCCTTATATTAAATCAATTCCTTCTTCTGGTTTCTATCCAATATGCAAAGCCAGTCATCAGAACAAAGAGCCACTTTTGCCCAGCCACAGTTTCTGGAATCCAGGATTGTTCTTCTGTTGTGGCAGGGAATATTTTTATATGACAACATGGATGTAGGATGGTAGAAAATATGTCTTGTTCTTACTGTAGAATAGGATCTTTTCTTTCTTATCAACCACCATCATTTCATAGTATATTTTGTCTTTTGCTGCCCCGTAATGTCTTTAACAATTGAATTTTTAAAAACAAAACAAACATACTGTTAACAACAACAGAGTTCTATAAATGGCATATGCCTTAAAATCCACGGATAGAGAATAGTGGTTCTGTCATAAAAAAAAAAAAAAAATCTATTTTTTAATTACCATTCCTTCCTCTAAAATGCAGTTTCTCTATGAAGTTTCAGTGGCAATTAATCTTTTAGCTGTATAACTGTAAATCTGTTTGTGTTTCTGGATTATTTTTTTTGGGTTTAGGTTTTGGTGTGATTTTTTTTTTAATGGAATAAGTCTCATAAGTCTCGTTTGCTCTTCACGATTTTTGTGGTCTCTCAGGAACAATATATAAATGTCAATTAGAGGTGACCATATAAAAGTAGATTTTTGTTTAGCTCAATGAAGCTCATGATTTTGAAAAGAGGAATCCTAGTCTCTGCAAATAAGATTCTTAATATTTCGAATTACAGAAAGATTAGTTTAGTTAAATGCTTTTTGTATTGATCAGTGTAATAATATTTGTTAAAGTTCTATCATGTTATGCTGTTTAGTTATTTTGGGGTTTTATCATAATTTCAGCTATAGTGCATTTTTTAATCTACTGTTCATAAACTGAGGTGTATTTGAAATAACTTTTCAAATTTAATTGAGAAATTACTAATAAAAGATGTGAAAACATCATCTTCTTAATATTTTTCTTTTATTCTAAGGGAAGTTTAGGAATGAGGACAAGGAAGGAGAAATCTTGTGTTGTGTTTAGTTACATTTTTAGCTTTGTTGCATATAAACATATAATTTGCTGTACAAAGACCACAGTGATCCACAGAAAACTGATGCATGCACCTGGGCCCAGGTAAGTCCAAGTGAAGCTGTGGAAGCATACCTCGTGTTTCCCTGGAAAATGCACCCAAATATGAATCAGGATCTTCACACTACACTTATGCCAACTGCAGCTTGTCAGGATATTTACCGTAATTTTGCTAATGGTGAAATCAGGTAAGCCAATCTGAGTCTCAAGATCAAGTTTTTATTTCTGAAAGTAATGCATAAGATAATTGAAGGTCATACCTGGAACACCTAGAATATAGTACACTAAATGTCAAAAAGGAGTAGTGGCAGGAATTACATCAGAATTTTTTTTTTTTTTTTTTTTTTTGCATCTTTTGATCTGTTAAACCCTTCTGGCATCCAAAGTGTGAAGCTGGCCTTCTAATGGCTGGTACGCTTGGGTTCTCTGAATGCCTTGCCTGGTAGCTTGTTGCATGTACGTGAAGATTTGATCTTTCATATGCAAGGTATGCTTGGAATGGGTACACAGGGGTGGCAAAAGTGTGATTTCTACTGTAAATACCTTTAGAAACTGGACAAGTGTTAATTAGTCATAGGGAGAAGCTAAGCAACTGTGCGTGGATTTCATCCATCTTATTTAAAAAAATGTAATATGAAAAAGATCACCTTGATTATGTGAATTTTTTGCTCTGCAGAGGCAGAATACTAGTCACCTCACTAGGCCTGAGGATCACAATATGCAAAATGATAGCAAAACTAGACAAAGCATCCTGGGAGCAGTTATAAGCGAAGCGTGCAAATTGAAAAGGCCTCTTGTTTTGAATCCAGTATTATTACCTTGCAAAGCTATGCAGTGCTTCAGATGCTTATCTGAACCTACTGTCCTCATTTGCTAGAGGGTTCAAAGACGTGTTTCCTGGAGGTTTTTTTCACCTTCAAAATTAAAAAGTAGCCATAACAACTCACCAACAGCTACACAAAAAGCAGAGGGGGAAATCTCCGTATCAATCCTAATCCTAGGGGAAAAAATAATATATCTGAAAGCAAATCTATGGAATCTGGTGTGAGAACAAAAGGCATTTTAACTCAAGCTCTGATGAGAAATTGATTTAACTAG